CTGCTTTTCGAATATTATTTGTTATTCATCAAGCTGAGGCTCAGTGCAGTTACATAGCTTGCCTCAGGTTGCAAGTGTTGCAGGCAGAAAGGGGGCTGGGTGTGTCTGGATGCAGAACCTTTCTCTTTCTACTGTACTAAGCTGCCCTTAAAAAAAGGGAAAAGATAAAGAAAAAGTCTTGTTTTCTCTTATTATATTTTTAAAGGTCAGACATTTGAATATAATTCACATTTTAATATTGGTAACACTTGCAAAAATAGCTCAAGATAACATTCCCTAAAATTAGAATTCTGAATAAATGGAAGTAAGCTACATTTCAAATAAGAATGTATATAGAATATATCATAACTTGAATAATTTAATAAAGTTAAAATTAGACTCTTCCTCTGGAAAAATAGTCCCTTTCACATTTCTATTAACAGCTTTTTATTGGAAACTGTATTGGGTGTAGACTAACTTGTTAGTATACATCTTTTCCATCTTCATCTGTTAAAATGAAATTTTTCCTTTAGCTGATTGATTTGAAAATCATGACATCAAAGTCATTCCTGATTTCAACTATGTATTAATTTTATCCAAAATCTCAGATCTATATCTTTATCTCCATCTTCCCTCCTTAAATTTGACCTGCCCGATGGCTTTGCCCATTTATTGCCTAAACTTCTTAACAAGATTATGTGTTTGTGTGTGTGTGTGTGTTGTGAATGAAAATTCCTTAAATAATATATAGCATAAATTTGTAAATCCTTATTTTTTATATATATAAATATATATATTTCCCCATATCTTATGAAAATTTTAAAAAGGAAATAATATATCCAATATCTTTGTCTAAATAGTATTTTTTCTGTAGCTACGAAACCGTAGTTCATTGCTTCCTCAGAGAAGTCTCCCACTTTCCACTGATATGCAGTTTAGTGACTGATTGATATTTTCCCTAGATTTTCTTCACAAGCACTACCTCAACATGTTTAAAAAGAAAAAAAAATGGAAAAAGAAAAAAAAAAGGGACTCAGGCAGTTAGTTTACAAATCAGCTACTTACTTCTAACACCTTATCTATTACCAGACGAAATAAGATATGCAAAGCCTCACTCTATGCCTACCACTCAGGGAGCCCTCAATATATATTAGTTTTCTTCCCTGCTAAGAATGTCTCATCTTGGACTTGTAAAACTAAAGGTCAGCCATCTCTTACTCACATAATGATCTTCCTTCGTTAATCTTCCCACTGTCATTATTCTCCTTCATATTGCACATTGCTTCACAAATAGACCAGCCACCTAAGGTTTTTATTACAGCTTTTAGCTTCTTTTCTACTCACATCATATTGCAAGATTTGTTTTCTCTTAACATTGCTTAATACATAATACTTACCTGTACAAAGACTTTTACTGGCCAAGGTCTACAGAATCCAGTTTGGACAAAACCTGCCTTTGCACACTCATCTTCTCTCCCTCCTTAGTCACATCAGTCTACTTGTTGTTTTCCCAAATGAATTATACCCTTTCATTGACATAATACTTGACTAAGATTCTTTTTCTCCCTCTTTGGATCCCACTACCTCATTTTCTTCAACTAGCTGAATCTTAGCCAAGCTCTAATTCAAATCTTACCTTCTTCAGGAAGCTTTCTTTAGCCAGGCACCCAGATAAAAGAAAATACTCCTTCCTCTAAATCAGGGATGTGCTAACTATGTTTGTGAGCCAAACCCAGCCCACATCCTAGTTCTATAAAGTTTTATTGAAAAACAAACAAGTCCGTTTGTTTATGTATTGTCTACGGTTGCTTTTGTGTTATAACAGCAGAGCTGAGTAGTTGCGATAAAGATCATGTAATCTGCAATGCCTAAAATATTTACTATCTTATGGAAAAAAGTGTGCTGACCTCTGCTCTAAATTCATAGATTAATAATAGTTAACATTTTAAAAACATATACTATATGCCAGGCACTGTGCCAAGTGTTATTTTAATACCCCATTTGAACTTGAGACTTCACCCCTCCTTGACACCCTCTCTTCACCACTGTCTATACTTTCCTTCCTAGAAGTATATAGATTGTGAAACTAGTTATCTGTCCCATACATTTGGTAAGGATTATTTATTATCCATTTCCAAGAATAGTGTCAGGCACATAGCGGAAGCTTAATAAGTATATGTTGAATGAATAAATTAGTTATTTTTATTGTATTATATACCCCAATATATGACAAGCTAACTTGAAAGGCATGCACCTTATCTTATATTTGATATTGCTCAAAGTACATAGCAAGCTGTCTTTCACATGGGACTGACTTAAAAACAAATGCTTGCTTAATAGATATATGCCAAAGAAAAAGTATATTTTAAGTATCCTGTTTGAAAGGAAGATCTAACAAGCACAGATCATTCTCTGATGATTCATCCACAGATAAAAAGGTAGTAGTACCTACCTGTAGATTTCCCCAAATAAAGCACATACCTTTACATGGTCGATGCGACTACTTAGTTCTTTGGATGCAAATCCCCCAAATATGAGACTGTGGATGGCCCCTATCCTTGCACACGCCAGCATGGTATACATTGCCTGCGGGATCATGGGCATGTAGATGACCACAGTGTCACCTTTCTTGATGCCATGCTTGACCAAAACACCAGCCAGCTTAGAGACCTGTAACAAAACCATTATATCAGCAAAGTGTTTTCTGTATTATTTCACTAAACTTCTAAGTTAAGGCAGTAATGCTAGAAGATGATCACCTTCTTGGTAGTAGATTAAAGAAGACTGAGTAACACATATTTGATGATGATGATAATGTTTAGATGGTGACAATAATAACAGGAAACTCTTTTATAATCATTGATTACAAACCAGCTTACTATTATTATGTCATGTAAACTTCATGACTTAAATTTGCTTATACATTCATTCTATTATGCAACATATTTAGGGAGCAACTATTATGTGCCAGACATGATAGAGTTGGGGACACAACACTGGAAAAGAAGGACACAGGCTT